TGGCATTTGCGACCAAATTTTTGGTTTTCATGGCGTTTTCTTTGGCTGTTTATAACGCAGTTGCGTTGAAACAGAAGGTGACTCGGATCCAATTTTACATGCATGACATCGTCGGAGGACCCCATCCGACGGTCGTCCGCGTCGCCGAACGATCGAACTTCACGGGTCAAGACCCCATGGAGGCAGCGTTCGGGTCCATTTCGGTGATAGATAACCCACTGACGGTCACCCCGAACAGAAACTCGACGTTGCTGGGGCGTGCTCAAGGGATTTATGCCATGTCATCGCTGGAAAAAGAGTGGAGCCTTCTTATGACCCTTACGTATGCTTTCACTGCAGGGCCTTACAACGGTAGCACTTTCAGGTCGGAATCCGGTGATGAAAGAAGAGAGAGAAATACCGGTCGTCGGAGGCACCGGAAAGTTCAGGCTGGCTCGTGGGTATTGCCTTGCTAGGACTTACTCGATCAAACAAACGGACGCGGTCATCGGATACAATGTTACTTTACTCCACTATTAGTCATTTTGAGACATAGAAAATACTTGAGTTTTCTTTCTTTTTTCTATCTTGAAATTGATGGTTTTTCTTTTTTCTTTTAAGTAACCTCCATTGATCGGAATTGATTACTACAAAAACTTAATACAAAATAAAATTTTCAATTTAATTTACTTCATTCGTGATACATTGCTCTCCTTATCTTGTCTTCTTACACATAAATAAACTGATTGAAAACATACAAAATCAAGCGCAATTTATTGATAACCTTGGAATAATTTTTTTTTGCTTGATCTTCTCTTCATGTTGTTAGTAATGCTTAGACACTATCCCACAGAGTGGGAAATACCATTAGCTTGAGTATTTATAGTGTACATTCTTCCATTCTTTGTTGAGTGATAGAGAATAAGGATCATTCTTGTGTACTACTATCACTATCATTTGTCTTGGCTTGTTGCAATATAATATAAGTTTGAAAATTAATATTTGATTTTTTTCCTTGGACGATTTTTTTTGTCCATGAACTTAGCCTATAAGTAGAGAGGCTTTGTTAGTTTCTCAATTTACTCTCAACACTCACTTATCCGATTTCGGGTATACGAAATCTTGGAGCGACTCTGTTAACATCGGGGGACAATCCGTCTACTGTAGCGATTACACACATCAGAGTGAATTTGTTTCTAAGGCAATGGTTTCACCACGACACGGTTCTAATCGTTCGATAATTTATTTTTTATTATTTTGTTCAGTCAGTGCTAACGGTGTAGTTTTGCGGTTTTATTATTTCCAACACATGTGAGCAAGAACTAGAATAACATGTTAATACTATTGTTAGTACAAGTACCATTTATGATATATTATACCAAAAATAATATCAACTTAACTTTTATTTATAATATATTATAAATGGCTCGGTATGTAAATAAAATTCCACATGCACAAGAAAGTGGGAGCAACAGAGGTCTTTTATATATATATATTGGTAGTAAAAACAATTAATTTCACAAAATATAGAGAACTAAAAATTATCAAATTGTAATAAAGGGGTTAAATCTATAAAAATATAATATAGGGAGGACCTTCTATTAAATTTAACCGAATTAGGACTATAATAAAGTGAGTTAAGAGTGAGTTTAAGAGTATGTATTATCTCAATAACTCTTTCTGGATTCTACTAATTATTGAAGTGAGAAGAGGGCCATGGACAACGGAAGAAGATTTTATTCTCATCAACTATATTGCTAAGCATGGTGTAGGTTGTTGGAATCATCTTGCTAGAGCCTCTGGTAAATATATATATATATAATTTTAATTTAAGCTTATTCTTATAAAGCTTTCATGAACCATACGAGAAAGCTAATTCATTGAAGAACATGCATAGTGCTACTTTAGTTTTTCATCGTAACCCTAATGATATAAAATAAATTGTTTTGTTAGGTTTGAAACGTACCGGAAAAAGTTGTCGACTCCGATGGATGAACTATCTTCGCCCAGACATACGTCGAGGCAATATCACTCTCAAAGAGGAACTCTTGATCATGAAACTGCATGCTAAGTGGGGAAATAGGTTAGTTCATGTTATGATCATATATTGTTCCTCCATATATATATATATATGCAACAATATATGCATTATTCATATAACAAATAATTATAAAACTCTGTTACCTGTTGATCTTCTTCATTTCTTCTCATTGGTGTGTGTTATGAGTTGAAGTACAACATTTTGGATTTTGCTTATGAGAAAAAGAGAAGTGCACCTCTCTAAAGCCTATATATTTTTGAGGATTTAGCAATGTGGGGGTTTGATTTATTTTCAATCACCAAATAGGTTTCTAACATCTGCCTGAAATTTTTAAGTTATTAATTTATATTTTGTATTCTGATTTTGATCTGCATGAATTGATTAGATTCAATTTTAACAATTGGGTTGAATTTTAAGTTATTATTTGTAATTTGTATTCTAATTTTAATAAAATTTTAATAACATATGTATGTATATGTAGATGGTAAAAAATAGCTCAGTTTCTGCCCGGAAGGACAGATAACGAAATCAAATGTTATTGGAAGACTCGAATCCAGAAACGCATTAACAAGCAAGCATAAATGTGTTCTTCTCATATCAGTAACCCAACATTACATTATCATCAAAAAAGCACAATTCAATATGCCTGCAGTATTCCTGCTGAATTCATTGAAACATACTCTCCAATGTCGTCATCTAACAACGACATCGTCGAACTGTTTCCCAGTCAACAGCAGTAGCAGCAACAACTGCACGTTGTGGATTTTATCGAATAATGAAAACTACTGGAGTTTGGAGGATATCTGGTCCATGCAGTTGCTTAATTGTGGCTAAACATGAAGATTAATTAGTCACATTTCTATGGCATAATGTTAGGGTTGTTTATAGATGAGGCTGAGATTTGAACTTGGTACTTCCCAATATGTTAATCTGGTTTAAGTGTGGCTTGTAGTCGGATCTTATACAGTGTCACATATATATTTATACAAATATCAACATATACATGTATGGGAGTTTTTTTAGTCACATATATATTTACGCCATGCATCTTAGGCAAATGTGCCCGAGAATCGTCGACCCCACAATCGCCATCAACATGGATCCGAACACACCTCGAACATTCGACAATGTCTACTACAAGAATCTTCAACAAGGAAAGGGTCTCTTCACCTCTGATCAGGTACTGTTTTCGGATAGGAGGTCGAGAAACACCGTCAATCTTTTCGCATCGAGCAATGCAGCGTTTAACCAGGCTTTCGTGGCTGCAGTGACTAAGCTAGGCCGAGTAAGGGTTTTGACGGGAAATCAAGGCGAAATTCGACGGGATTGCACTCGACCAAACTAAGCCAACACCACTCTTTCTTTCTATTTCATTTCCTTCTGCCCTTTCTTTCCAGATTTTTAAATTATATTTCGTTACGAGATTGACGAGTTTGCAAGTGTTTTGCTTAGTTTACAATCAAACACATTGTTTACTTTTATGAGTTCAAATTGTCTTCCACGCTCGATAAAATAGAGTTAATTTTGTATTATCATTGAGACCTATTTAGCTTTCTCTAATGAGTCAAACACATCAACAGTCAAGAAGAAATATGTTCTTCTCATATCAGTAACCCAACATTTCATGATCATAAAAAAAAAGCACAGACCAATTGGCCTGCAATTGTCCTGCTGAATTCATGGAAACATACTCTCCGATTTCATCATTTAACGAAGACAACGTCGAACTGTTTCTCTGTCAACAACAACAACGACAACAACCGCACATCGTGGATTTAATCGAATAAAGAAAACTATTGGATTATGGAGGATATCTAGTCTATGCAGTTGCTTAATTGTTTTTTTATATAATCACAATCAAATGAAAAACCGAGTCATTTTTGGAGGAAAACAACATTACCACCTATAGGGCTTTATAGGGATGGAACCAGCTCCGTGGAGCCCTAACTGAGTAATGAGATTGGCTCTTTTGAAACCCTGAAAATGAAATGTGCTTAGCTAAATCCATAAACAGCTCACATGCCCTATAGTGAGCTTATTAATTAGTTATATTTATAGGTTGTTGAAAATTCAATATTAGCCTAAATAAGTTCACACTTAAATTAATTTGATGTCTTTGCTTACATCAATTTAGTTTTGATGTCATTGCTTACATCAATTTAGTTAGGTGAAAATTAAGTATTCTTTTCATGTTTTAATTTCGATGGTTTAGATTATTTAGTGATTATTTAATGAGTGGTTTAGATTATTCTTGTAACCTATAAATACTCTACTTGTATTGAGTTTTATCATCCAACAATCAAGCTTAATTATAAGCATTGAAAGCTTTTTAAGAGTTCTTCCCTTTTGCAATTTTGTGAGATTATTCTAAAGAGTTTTTTCTTCTCGATCAATTAGAGTTTTTACTCTATTTTGATTCAACAATTGGTATCCGAGCCATGTTTTTAAGGTCTCTTGAAATTCCAAGTATGCTCTGTGGCTACAGTTTTTAACTAATCTTCCACATCAGAAAAGATTTCTTGAGATTATTGTCGGGGTTATTACAAATCTTGTGGAGCTTCTTTGTGTTTAGAGTAATTTAGTACTCTGCACGTTTGTTACTCAAGCTTGTTCGGTGTAGTCAAAGCCTTGTCGTTAAGATGGGTGATCTTCAAGTAGTTGGAGGAATCAAAAAGCTCAACAACAAAAACTACAACACATGGGCAACATGTATGGAATCATACTTACAAGGTCAAGACCTTTGGGAGGTTGTCGGTGGTGGTGAAGTTACACAACCGGCGGCAGAAAATGCCAATGGCATCTTGTGAAAATGGAGAATTAAAGCAGGCAAAGCAATATTTGCTTTAAAGACCACAATTGAAGAAGAAATGTTAGAGCACATCCGGGATGCTAAAACACCAAAGGAAACATGGAACACTTTTGTTACACTCTTTTCGAAGAGGAATGATACAAAATTGCAACTTCTCGAGAATGAACCTATATCAATGGCGCAACGCGACATGACGGTTGCCCAATACTTTCACAAGGTGAAGTCGATATGTCGCGAAATTTCAGAATTAGATCTGATAGCTGTTATTGGGGAATCCATGATAAAAAAGAATAATTGTCTATGGTTTGAGACCCGAATATCGAGGGTTTGTTGCCGCTGTACAGGGATGGCCGACACAACCATCGCTTGTTGAGTTTGAAAATTTGTTTGCAGGTCAAGAAGCCATGACCAAGCAAATGGGAGGAGTCTCGCTGAAGGGTGAAGAGGAAGCGCTCTATACCAGCAAAAGTAGAGCCATTTTTCAGCGATATACTGACAGTGGATCTAAAAAGGATGGTGACAAGGTGAAAAATTACCAAGGAAAGGGAGGCCCTCATTCAGGGGGAGTTTCCAAGAATTGCGGTAATAGTAGAAAGTTTGATGGCAAGTGTTACAACTGCGGGAAGATGGGCCACATGGCAAAAGATTGTTGGACCAAGAAAAAGCCCGTTGAAAGTAATAATGCTACTTTTAGTTCGAAGGAGAATAATGAAGATGGTTGGGATACTGAAGCGTTATTTGCTATGGAAGAAGAAGAATTAGCTCTCACGGTAACAACACCGGAACGGATTGACTACAAGAATGATTGGATCATAGATTCAGGCTGCTTAAATCATATGATAGGTGACAAACAGAAGTTGCAAAACCTGTCTGAGTACAATGGAGTCGTGTGGTGGTGACAGCTGACAATTCAAGGTTACCGATAACTCATATCGATAAGACGATAGTTACGCCTCTATATAATTCTATCCAGATGCAACTTCAAGATGTTTATCATGTCCCAGGAATGAAGAAAAAATTTGCTATATGTGGCTCAATTAACATCATCAGGCCATTATGTCTTATTTGGTCCTCAAGACGTGAAGGTATTTCGTGACGTCAATATCTCAGAAACACCAACAATGGAGAGATGACGTTTGGAGTCAATCTACGTGATGTCAGTAGAGCCTGCATATGTAGACATGACAAGGAAAAATGAGACATCAGATCTATGGCACATGCGGTTAGGTCACGTTAGCTATTCTAAGTTATGGTGAATAAGTCGATGCTTAAGGGGCTTCCTCAACTAGATGTGAGACCAAACACGGTATGTGCAGGAATCCAATATGGTAAAGCACACCAATTACCATATGACGAGTCAAAGTTTAAATCAAAAGAACTGTTGGAGTTGGTTCACTCTGATGTGTTCAGACCAGTTAAGCAACATTCAATTAGCAATATGCTAACATTCATTGATGACTTCTCCAGGTATGTATGAGTTTTCTTTATGAAAGAAAAATCTGACACATTCTCAAAGTTTAAAGAGTTCAGAGACTCGACTGAAGGAGAAGTAGGAAAGAAGATATGTTGCTTGCGCACAAACAACGGAGGAGAATATAAATCAAATGAGTTCTCTCAATACCTAAGGGAATGTCGAATACGTCATCAGTATACTTGTGCCAACACGCCACAACAGAATGGTGTAGTGGAAAGAAAAAATCGGCATCTTGCAGAAATTTGTCAAAGTATGCTATATGCAAAGAACATACCTGGAAGGTTTTGGGCTGAAGCAATGAGGACTGCAGCCTTTGTGATCAACAGACTTCCTCAACCAAGGTTAGAATTTGTTTCACCCTTTGAGAAACTATGGAACATGAAACCTACAGTTAGCTACTTTCGAGTATTTGGATGTGTATGTTATGTGTTTGTTCCTAATCATTTACGGAGCAAGTTTGACAAGAAAGTTGTTAGATGTATCTTTGTAGGATACAACAGCCAGAGAAATGGGTGGAAATGTTGTGATCCAATGAGTGGTTGATGCTACACATCACGAAATGTAGTATTTGATGAAGCATCTTCTTGGTGGTCCTCAGAGAATGAGGTGTTGCCAGACTCGAGAGAATTTGGAGACAATCTGCAACAAAAGATAGGGGAGCATACTGTTCAACTCCAAACAAGAACAGATGAATCAAGAGATCTAAATGACGATAATATCGAACAAAGAGTGACTCAGAATCAAAATCCTTGGCAAATTGGCATGTATCAACAACCAAACGAAGAAGGTGGACCTAGTGAAACAGAAGAATCAATTCCACAATCTCAACTCTGAAGGTCAACAAGAATACGTAGGCCAAATCCCAAAAATGCCAATACAACCATAATTGAATAAGTAACAGAGCCTGAGACGTTCGAAGAAGCATCGCAGAGTTCTGAGTGGATGACAGCTATGAAAGAAGAGATCG